ACTGCAGCCACGCGGTTGCGTTATCTGCGGCCCAGCTGCCTGGGCTCAGGCCCAACTCCATTTACTTCACGGATTTGGAAGACACCGAGGAGTTTGAGGATGATGTACTGTTCAACGGCCACGACACTGGGATTTTTGATTACGAGAAGAAGACGGTGTCCCCGTGTTATTATCCCGTAGATCCCCGGAGACTCGAGAAGATTTTCCCAGGGCCTATGTGGTTCTTCCCCAGCCAAGAGTGAGGGTGCACTCGTTTGGGATTTTTAAAGGATTTTAGAAATATTTAGCTAGGACTTGTTTTTGAAAGCTTTAGATAAATCTCCTGGCAAAGCATGTGTAATTTTTTTTTTTTTTTTTTTTACACATTGATCTTATGAATTACATAAGTCTAAATGAAGGTGTAGAGTCAGTTTGCAAAGGATTTGGCTTGCACAATCGCTGCAGAAATATTCATGGTTTTTGTGGCCTATTTTGATTTGATGCTTTAAGGGGCCGTTTTTTCAGTGTGTGACATTTTTTCTGTGAGAAAAATCTTTAGGCTTCTCTCCATTGGCAGGGATGAATTTATCCTCTTTTGAAGTTTTCGTTTAGTCTTATTTAAGAAGAATGGCCGGGTCTTTGGAAATGGGTCCACATGGTTTAATTTCAACAAATCGAGCTCGAGCTCGATTAGTAACTCATTTAGCTAACAACCCAAGCTCGGCTCTGCTCGACTTGTTAATGAGCTCGAGCTCGAGTATCATGAGTTCAAGCTCGAGTTTAGAAAAGGCTTTATTTATCAATCTGACTAGCTTTAATGAGATTGATCTAACTACAATAGCCTTAAACAAGCTCAAACACGACTTCTTTATCAAACAAGCCAAACTAATAAATCACAATCTCATGATGGGGTTTACAGTGGACGGTGAGCTCTATTGCTCGATCCACGGCAACTGCCCGACAGACCTAACATTCAACAATTATGCTCGTAAGCTTGATGGTACCTTGGTCAAGCCTAAAAATATATACGAGTATTGGTTAAGCTTGTTAGAAGACCTACCGAATAGCATAAAAAACTATTATTAGATAACGGAATTTTTGTTAAGTTATATATACTAGTATCGTGGCCCGTGCAAATGCACAGAACTATAAAAAATAATGAAATAAGGAAACATAAATAGAATAAATAATTTATATATGCAATTAAAATAGATTACTATATACAATGTTTATATTTATATTTTATTTCTCATTATATATCGGTATCTTGTGTCTTTTTATCTGTAACTCGAGAAGCAACAATGTAAAGTTCAGAATTAAAAGCCTAAAAGTAGATTCCTATATATATATATATATATATAAATATAAATATATATTAGTTTTTTTTATTAGAACAAATTGACATAGTATTAACGATTTTTTTTTTTTTATATAGTTTTCCATGAATTTAACAAATTTCCTTCTAAAACCGTTATTTTTTTTTAATGAAATCTAACGATGTGGACCAAAATTTATTGAGAAACGAAAAAATTAAGTAACTAAATTGATTTAATTGGAACATCATGTACTAAATGCACAAATATATATAGTTGGGGTATAAGAAAATTCTCAAATTATTTTATTATCTTAACACATTTTATTACAATTTGTTTGAATTTATTATGTAATTTAGATCGTATTTTGACACTTGGATATATTATTTTACTTGTCTGGTTTTATAATTTATAATGTATCTTATTTATTAACTATTATTTTCTATACAATACTTACAATTTCTTTATTTGTGAACCATTCTTTTATGTAAATAAGTGCCATATTATTATCTAGCATCTTCATATTTTTAGGAAAGCTTTAAATATAAATTATTATTTAACATACATCATAAATAATTCACCGTGATTTAACATATCATGTACATGTAAAAATAAATTTACTTTTATATTAATGAGAAATCAAAAACAGACAAAATATTTTAAAATGTCTATCTATAATTGGTAATAACAAATTTAGGTACACTTTTACTATTAACCCATATTAGAAATGAAAAAAAAAATAATTAATGGAGGTTGAAGCACGTTTAATAAAATAATAAAAAATTGAAACTAACTTTCTATAAATAGTAATATAATGAGACCCACTAAAACACTTACTATTTTTAGTAAGTGGGTTGCCTAATTATATAGTAATAGATTGTTAAATTGAAATCACATTTTCTACACATCAATGTAAATAAAAGTATGGCATTTTATAATAAATTTTGTATGGAGTTGGATTTGATCAATCGGGAGATGTTACGATTCCGTTACGGAACCATTTCGTCGTGATTTGTAACCGTTAGATTAACTATCCCCGACAGTTACAAACACCGATGGGATAGTTCTGTAACGGGACCATAGCATTTCCCTGATTAATAATGCAGTTAGTCTAGTACTGTGTTCTAAACTTTGTACAATTACATAAATTGTTGAATTATTGCTTCGTTTACAAGTTGCATGTGCAACATGCACATTCACATAGTGAATAATGCACAATTAGATGAATGACAACATATTCATTTCCGCAATCAATTTACATCTGTTAGATCACGATCGATGGGTGTGATTAATTTCTACGTTCTCATTTTAATAATTTCCATTTAAACCACTCTCTATTTTGTGATGATATAACGGATCAATTGGTATTAGAGCAGTTAAACGAAGCAACCATTTAGTGAGTTCGACTCGGCTCAACTTGTTACGGCACAAGCTTGTCTCACCTCGATATGACACGTAAAGATTAATATTTTTTATACAATTTTTTTTTTTTTTTTTAATTCGGCTCGTTAAAGCTACATTTCAGCTCATTAACATTGATAAACGAGTCGAGCTCGAACCCAAATATAACTATATAAGCTAGTTAAGGGCTCGAGCTCTAACCCGACTCAGTTAAGATTTTTTTATCGACACATACTTATACAAAATTCCAAACTGAAAAATCATACTCTATAAAAAAAAATGATATTTCATGAAATAAAATGTGCATTTTTATCCAAAAAAAAAAATATTACATGTCCACTTGTTTATCAATTAGACCATTCCATGCAATAATTTGTGACCGAAAAGGACTCTTGCCATTAAATACAGGG